GTCTGTATCAGGAATCATCTCCTTGACTCCCTTAGACCTCTTGACCTTCTCTGATAAACGTATCAGACACGGGATGAACTCAAGCTTGTCTCTGTTTAAACAGGCAAATCAGCTTTGTTCAGAATGCCATCTGATAAAAACGAGCAAATTTGTGGGTACTGCTTTCATTCTTTGCGTACTTCTAAGTTGTTATGGAAGCCATGTCCCAGAGTGGCACTAGAAGACTATGTTCTAGTGAGGGACAGCTCTCTGAATCAGTTATGGCCTCATTTGGAGTTAGAGGTGTGGGTTTCAATCAGTATTTTGGTATGTCCTGAAGAGCCCTCAAGTTAGTTCAGAGATTGATGGTAAAATGAGACTATGAGGTAGGAAGTGTTATGCAGATCATAGGTTCTACATCTGGCAGACAGGTTCCTCAGTGAAGCATGAAAACGTTTCTTATCTGGCTTGCAGGAGGTGACTTTCTAAGAAACTAGTTCTTGAAGCTCATATATTTAGAGCTATAGAATCAAGTTTTTTGTCCTAGACTTTTTACTTGCCTTCCTTTTTAATGGTGGGTTGCAAGGTAGGATCATCAAACATATAAAAAAGCCTCACTGAAAGCACTGGTGGCAAGTCAGACCAGAATTGACACAAGCATCTTCTCCTTTACCAGGCAGTTTTAACATTTGGGAAGGATGTGTTTTATCTATTCTGGAAAACTGCACTGAAGCATCTGTTGATTTCATTAAAACACAAAGATTCATAGGTTATGAGGCCAGAAAGAGCCATTATGATAATCTAGGCTGATTTGCTATATAATTAATTCCTGTTTCACAATGTCTTTTAGAGAAAACAAGATACTATTTTAATTTAAAGTTTGCCAGTAGCAGAGAACGCACCATAACCTGTAGTAAATTATTTCAATAGCAAATTACCCTCATGTAAAAATAAGTCATAATATTTTCAAGTGTGAATTTCTCTAACTTCAATTTCTAGCCCCTGGATCCCATTATTCCTTTGTCACATGGACTGAAAAGCCCTCTATTGCCAAATTCCATTTTCTGCACAGGTACTCGTAGATTGTTATCGAATCATCCTTTAACCTCTACCTATTAAACAGACTGAATTTGAATGTTCTTCACTATGGGACACACATTCCACTCATTTAATTATTTTCCCTTTTCTCATCCTTGAACCTTTGGTTTAACAGCTGAACTGCAGATATCAGAAGCTGCCTTAGCGTTTCATTGCCCAAGCCAGAGATTCTGTTGTCTCTCTATTCCTGCTCGGGATTCACCTTGGTTTTACACCCAAAGATTATTTTTATCCTTTTGTTTATAGTGCTGAGAGTTCTGGTGTACCTGCTTATACATCAAGATCTTGATGTCGAAATGTGGCTGTCAGTGATAGCTCAAGTCAGCTATGTGAACACTTGTACTTTTTCCTTCAACACAGGTGCTTTTTAAATTTCTCAAGCTAGGTTGTGGGTTTGTTTTTTTTTAAAGAAAATAATGTAGAACAACAAATACTTGAATAATAGAGATTCAAGTTGGGGTGTATCTGTTTCTTTGAAAAGACTGAATTCAGAACTCTTGTATCTATTCAACACCCTTTCTCCTCTCTTCCCCAAGTCTTCCTTTGTGCTTGCTTTCTTGGTCCTTTCTTTCAAACTTGCTCTCAGATCCTCAGTTGTTAGTGACTTTCTGGGTTACAACTGACTCCATGTAATTTTCTCTAGATCCTTTGAAAGTCTTCTGTCTCAAGGATTCTCCAGCTGTGGTACTGGTTTGACCAATAAAATACAAGGCAGTCTACAGCAAACCCCAAATAAACCCAGAGGTGGACCCTCTGCATTTCCCCAGGGGAGAGAGGAATTGTTACTTAAGTATCAAATATGTGAAAGGAGGAGGTGTAACCTGTATGTGGCTCAGCTGAGAGTTGGACGCTGCGTATCTGTATGTGATCATATTCCTTCTATCAGCAACCTGCAGCAGTTGCTGAAAGCAGATTGCTGAGTCATAGCTAGATACAACCCAGCACCAGCTATCAATCATTTGTAGGGTATTGTGCTACCTGTCTGCTCCTCTCATATGTGGAAAGGCTGGGTCAAGGTACAGTTGAGAGGAGTGTTGGCTTGAGCAACTGTTAGTCGTTCTATAAGGCCAGTTCTCCTATGTTAGCATCATTAAAGTCACAGTTCATTCAGGCCTCGCATTCTCTTGCCCACCAAAGCAGCTTCATACTGGGGTGAAACCAGAAATGCGACATTGCACCCAAGTCAGGGAGTCCCATATGTATGTGCTGGCAGAAGGACTCTGTCCACAGGAACCCATTTCCAATTACCCTCTTTCTCAGGCTGTTCCTGCAGTGGGACAAGGAGTAGACTGTGCACAACCTACTGTACACATAGATTCATTAAGAACATGAGAAAAGCCCTTGTGGGCCTGAAGAACAGTCAATCCATTTACCCAGTATTCTGCCTCCAGTAGCGCAAGTGCTATTTAGGGGGAGCATATGAGCATGGCTGCTATCAGTGATGCATTCCCCTTACACTCCCACAGCATCTACTGCTATTGGATTAGGATTATTAGAAGGTCCATCCCTTCCTTTTCCCTTTAATATCAGTTTATGGACTTGCTGTCCATTTATCTTTCTGGTTCTTTTTGAGCCTGCCAATGCTCTCTGCTTCCGCAACCTCCTGTGGCAGGAAGTTCCAGAAGTTCACTACCTTCTGTGTAAATAAATACTTCTAAAAATCCATTTTAAACTGATATCCTACAAGTTTCGGCGAGTGCCTCTAGTTCTATTATTGCTGGATTTGGCGAACAGCAGTTCTACATCAACCTTCTCCATCTTCTGTAAACTTCAATCATATTTTTTCTCAGGACACCTTTCTAAATATAAGAGCCCTGGCCCTTTCAGGCTTCCCTTTCAGGAAGCATCCTGTTCCATCCTCTTAATTGTTCTATTTGTTTTCCTCTATACCTTCAGCTCCTCTGTTTCCTTGAGATGCAGAGACAGGACTGCATGCTGCGCTCAGAACTAATGTTTGTGGAAAGCGCTGGACTTGCTGCACCCACAAACTACATGCAGAAGTCTTGGGCAGTCCAGATAGCTGCATGTGCATGGAGTACCTATGACGCTTCTTACGGGTGCCTTTCCTGGATACAAAGGTAGCTGGAGCTTATCTCTGCTGTCTGGCTGATGTGCACCTCCTTGTCTGGCAAGAGGGGGAGGCTGTAATGCATAGCCTTGCTGAGTCACTGGAAGGATGTGTATGGTCTCTCTAGTGAGTGTGTTTGACATGGTTAATCTGTAGAATGAAACTACTCCAAGTCCCACAAATTGAAAATATATTTTATTCCTGTTGCAGATAGACTTGATGTTTTTGAAGTCTGTGCGAGGGCAGAGGGCTTTATTGGGAGTTAGGAGCAAAACAAGCTATTGAGGGTCAATACTGTTGTCTGCTGGGAGGAACTACAGCTTTGTGCCATGACTCTAAATGGGAATTAACAGCTGGCTTCTCCTTTCACTCTGATGTAGGGTGTTTTGCCTTTACAACAGGAAAATCTGATGCTGTGCTGGCTGCACTGAGGAGAAATTCTCCTTTAATGCTTAATGAAAGCTGAAAATTCTTTCCTTGCTACAAATGTGTTGAACTGGATTTCATTTCTTTTTCATCCTGAGGTCACCTACTTTAGAAGCTTATCCCTCATTCTTTCCCTCGTTTGCCTTTTAATGTTTACTGCACACTCATTTCTCTGACTTTCCTGTCCTATTTGTAGAATTAACAATGCATATCTCCTTTCCCTTCTCTTTTCATAGCAAATTGCTGACAACTCATCCTGCTAACATTTTGAAAGCAGAAATCAAATGTGTGTGTATATACATGCTATATGTAATAGACACAAAGTATTTTAAAATAATAACTCCTTAGAAGAAATCAGAGTCTTCAGTAGTGTTGCAGAACATGAATTCAATCAAAACTTTGTGAGTTGCAAAAATGCTTTTGCTTGCTGTATGTGCCAGTTCTGGGTTTAGGAAGCACAGAATGTTTACAAATACTTCAGTTTTGTGCCTTCTCCAGTCCCTGCCTCTGTGTGAGAATGGCACGGGGCAGGGAGGAGTCCTTTTTGCAAGGAATTTATTCTGTACCTGTGAGAAAGAGAAGGGCAGCAGGTCCAGACTCCTGAGCAAGCCAGGCATGCTCAGGAGCGCTTGCCTGTTTGGGACTCTTCTCTTGGCTAATTTCCATCTATGTAGCAACACAGAGCCCAGAGTTATGGTCCTTAACCCAGAGAGAGTAAGAGTCCAGGCACTGAATGTGTACAGGCTTTTATGTGTTAGCACAGAGAGTGTACGTTTCTCGAAGCGAGGGTAAGCTATGCAGATACCTTCATAGCAAGTTTGTGCCTGTATTGATCTAACGTTTCTTGGTCAGAGAAGTTTTAAGTCTTTGCTTATTTTTCCTTGTAGCTTTTTAGGAGCCACAGGGCAATCACCAACAGTTCACAGCAACTTGCTTAAATTTTTTTGCATCTCTCTCCTGGTAGTTAAGTGGGCTTATAGGAATAATAGAGAAATGACAGTGGTGGTACAGAGTTCCCTTCTGTGGCTAGCAGAGATGGACATGGAAGTTACACTTTGTTATGTATTTTGTATGGGATTTATGCAAATGTAACAGCATGATACTAGACACACACTGTATTTTATCTACAAAAGCTTTTACAGCAGAGTGGGCCTGCGGTAGAGTTAATTGTTCTCACTGTCCTTCAGTTAAAAGTTCTCTTCTGCCTGCTTATCTGATCTATAGTCATCACAAAGTACCCGTTGCTGTCACTTCTATACACACTCCTGGTTGTGCTCTCTCCCTCTGTCATCATGTCAGACTCTTGCATGGTCTCCTTTCTGCTCCTCACTGCCTTTTGGGAGAAGTTTATCACCCATAGCTGCAAGTAATTGAGGTATTTGTACTGTATGCAGGATTGATGTATGATATTTTTCCTTGTGTCTGGCAGGTTGTTTATAAGAATAACGACATTCGTCTGGAGCTGTCTCGCTTGGCACGGATTGGTGATACTAAGATGAAGATCTACGGGGAAGTGAAATTCGTGTGTGAGAATGTGGCTACACTGGATCCCATCAGCTTTGAGACACCTGAGGCCTATATTAGTCTGCCTAAATGGAATACCAAAAGGATGGGCTCCATCTCATTTGATTTCCGAACCACTGAACCCAATGGACTGATACTTTTCACCCATGGCAAGCCTCAGGAGAGGAAAGATGCCAGGAGCCAGAAAAATACAAAGGTAGACTTCTTTGCAGTTGAGCTTCTAGATGGGAACCTCTATTTGCTGCTGGACATGGGCTCTGGGACCATTAAAGTCAAGGCCACCCAGAAGAAGGCCAATGATGGAGAGTGGTATCATGTGGATATTCAAAGAGATGGAAGATCAGGTAGAGTGATGACTTTTTCTTAAGTAGATTAATCTTTCAGGTCCAGACCTAGGGCTGTGTATTAATTCTCAGAACCTTAAAAACCTGTTAGCTGAGAGTCACCTTCTTACAAAAACTTAGTGTTACTCCAGTCATGTTTATCCAGCAAAGCAAAGATGTGAATGGCTGGGTTTTCATTAAATGTTTAGTGGGAACTTCGGATAGCACATCACAGAGGCAGTCTATTAATATTTTATTCACAATCTTCAGATATTCTGGACCTATCTTTGCAATTACATACATAATTATAGTGATGACTTCTTTGTAGGCCACAGTAATGTTTAAGATCCTTCAGAACCATTGTTATTTAGTTCTTGGTTTGAGAAATTGCCACTGATCTACTTTGGATTTCTGTTCAAAAAGAAACTTAGTAGAAACCAAATGAAAACTTTTTCCTGTGACCTAATATTACCATGTTCTCCTGGATCTTGTGTCTTTAAAGAGCAGGGGTTTGGGATCTTGTTGTCATGAAAATAAAAGTAATGGGCACAGCCAGTGACAAAAGTATGGTGACAAATCAACATTTTCGTCCTGTTCTGTTTCCTTTAGTATCTTGTAGTTTTCAGTTAGGTTTCTTTACTCTCTCTTGGATGCCAAATTCTAGTCTTAATATCTGAGTCAGCATTCAGTGGATGTTCCTTTTTTACCTCGCAGCTTCTCATTTTAAAAAAAGGTGGTTTAGTTTATTTCTAATGATATACCTACCATGCAATTACCAAGAGATATTTTGTTTGTTTCTAATGCTGGATATCAAGCTGACATATTCACGATGTACTCTGAAATTGTGTAAGGAAACAAAATGATCAAATACTGTAACTTCAGCTTGAGAATATGTGAACAAGTGTATTTGAATTCTTCATAAACCGTTGGGATCTCAAAGCCTGGCCATATATCCCTTCAAAGGGAATTTTGCTTACATTTGCAAGTGGATTTGGGATTTGTCTGGTGATCTCCAGATGATAGCTTTAGGTCCCTAATTTTACGTTTCCAGTTGTTGAATGCCATCAGCAGAGAGAACGCAGTGCTGGAATTTGCTTCCCTCGAGTTTTCAAAAGAGCTGACTTTTAGATACCATGCAAAGCCTAGCTGTTTGAACAGGCCTTTGCCTGAAGCTAGTTTTTACTTTGATGATGCGAGGAGTTTCTTTGTATTTGGCATGGTGCTCTGCTAGGACTTAATATGTGTGGTTATATATTGCTATCTCGTAAAGACATCGATAGGAACATTTTATAAAGAAAGCCATAAATAAATAAATGGAGCTTTGATTTCTTTAGAATTGCTAAAATTTAATTAACTTCCAAGGATAAACTCAATTAGTTGCATTCAGTACTGCCTTCAGTTTTGCTTGCTCACTTGGGGACTGTCTGGCCTCTGGAAAGGCAGCTGCAGAAGGAGAAGAAACAGAAATGACACTAAGCTCTCTGTTAGAAAGTTTGTAAAAACCTAGGAAGAGGGACACACGTTCATTTGGACTAGGAGGGTGTGACAGACAGCATTGCTACTTGGTGGGTGAGACTATAGGACTGACTTGTTTGTCACTTGTCAGGGAGGTTTGTGATGTTCTGGACACTGATTAGAGATAACATTTTGAATTAAAAGCACTTTGCTCAACAAGAACGAACACATTTGTATGTTCTTGTCTTTTTTTTTTTTTTTTTTTTTTT